AGAGTATATTGAGGTGGGGATTTGTATTTGAAGTGGGAGGGTAAAATGGTCATTTTTTATCGGTCAGTACATTCAGTCAGATAGATAATCAAACAACATGGTTTCTTACTCGGTCAAGATTTCTTACCAAGACAGACCTTTCCCAGTCAGCACTTTCGCAGTCAGCAACTATCAAAGGGGGCTTTAGTGTCATATGTTCTAGATCTGAGGATCTATGGAGTTTTTGGTCCCATGCTCAAGCTTGAGTTCCTTATTTCCATGTTTTTATATAACCTAAAAATGAAGGGTCATGCATTGGATATCGCATGTCCATAAAGGTACGATTTTTATGGCTTATTAGGTGTAGGAAACCACTCTGGAAACTTTGGGTGAGCAACTCTAGAGATTGGGTGCTTAATGGGTGACTTTATGCATTTAATCACCTTTAGGGAATTAGGGTTTGGGATCTTGACTTATTGAGGTGTCCTAATAGATAAAGTTGGAAAATTTATCCGTCAAGACCATAGGAAGGACCATATCTGAGTTTTGGAGCTCTTGGAGTTGTAGGAAACTGACTTAATGATTAAACTGTTGAGACCAATCCCCACAGTGTGGCCTTAGGATGCCACGGCGTAGTCTTAAGTTTCCATAGTGTGGCGACTGGATAGGAACCCGTCTGCTTTGTCGTTTAGCGGCCATGACATGGCGACCAATTGGAGGTTGACCTTTGACTTTTGACCGTTGAGAGTTAACTTTGACCAAGTTTGACTTTAGGTCATTTTGGGTCTTTTAAGTAGTAGATTGAGGCTTGGTCCGTGTATGATGTACATGTGACCTCTAGAACAAGTGTTTGGAGGGGAATTAGTTCGGCTATCTTTCAGACTGTGAGGTGAGTTTTCCTCACATTACTCATAGGTCGAAGGCACCAATGTTGGCCACTAGGTTGTATGATGTATCCTGGTATATAGGATGTTGTTATGTTGTGGTGTTCTGTTAGACTGGTAGGTCTGCATGATTATCTGTTTCTAGTTATATGTTTATCCGTTACATATGTCGACATAGTGCGGTTAGGTTGAGGCAATACTGCTGTTGCGGAAGTTGACAAACCTGGGAGCAATCCAGAATTAAGCTGAGGGCCGGGAAGGCAAACCAGACTTATGTTATGGGCTCGGGAGCAATCCATATATGAGGTGTGGGCTGGGAGGGCCATCCAGACTTATGTTATGGGCTCAGGGGTAATCCAGTCTGATGGTTTTGGACCCAGTATGCATGTGGTTATATGTTTGTGTGGTGGTATTTTAGGGGAACTCACTAAGCTTTGGCTTACAATTTGATTTTATGGCTTCAGGTACATCAGAGGATTGGGGCCAGGTGAAGTCGTGATTATGCACATCATCCTGGATATTTATTTGACTTTTGATTTTGGGATACTATGATTTATACTTATGGTTTTGGAACTATGTTTTGTGTGAATTATGGATTTTGTGATGGTTTTAAAAATGGAAAATTTGTCATGATTTTTAGGATGTTACAAGTTGGTATCAGAACCCTGGTTTGAGCGAATTGGGTGAACACTTGTGTGATTCTAGACTCAAACTAAGGATCCGCAAAATGTTTTTCAAATTTTAACTCTAAAAGAACCGATAGAAAAGATGTGATGTGTACAATCAGCCGGAGCCAAGGAAAGTGATTCCCCAAGATACCCACATTTGTTTTTGTGTATTGATGATGTGGTAGAATTTCATGCTAGTATGTAGTCGAAGGATCTTTAGGAATTGCATGATGGAATTTCATGATGTATGATGCCTGATAACCTAAGAGAATTACTCGTTATGTTATATGGAACTAACATAATTACTGTGGATGCTTAGTGTATGCATCATAGTGTACATAACTAAGATTTTATAGCCTGTGAATGTTTGATTTATCCTTATTTCATGTTCCTTGTTTGGTTGTGGGATTAGGGTAGTGTTATATATGATTAGCTTGTACGAGCGGTTGCAGGTTTAGTGCAAGTTTCATGAGTAAGTAGGGGTTGTAGCAGGCCAACTTGAGGAATGATTAGCCACTCGCAAGAGAGTGAGTATAGGATGTGTGCGTATCCTAGTTATTAGGGTTTGTAGGCGGGTGGTCCGTGACGGTTCCTTGAGACAAATACGAGTAGGTGTGGAAGGTAGTATGGGTCCGTACTACTGGAAGCACAAGACATGTACGCATATCAAGGTAGTATTTAACCCTGAAGGTTTAGTCTTTCCATAAAGTTTTAATAGTATGGATCTTTTCTGATTATTTCTCAGTTTTTTTAGTATGCCGATCACTAGAGGTTCTAGATTAGGAGATGGCGGCCCGACGAGGCTAGGATTGACTGACAATCATATTCGGGAGATGATCACCACTCAAGTGACCATGTGTAACATCTCGGTGTTCAGGTACTTCAAAATTCAACCCTATAATCTTATCATATCGCATATTGGTCTCTAAGTAGAAAGAAGTGTCCATTGGAAGCCCTAGTGGCAAAATTGTAATTTTCAGAGGAATGGGAATACGGCATGCGTACGTGCGTACGCTTAGTGTACTAGGTCGCGCCCTAGTACGCTGCGCGTACATCAGCGTACATGGGGCGTACTCACCAGGTTTGGAAACCCTAAATTTTAGGGTTGAGCCCCTATATAACCATCCTTATAACCTCATTTCCCTCACCTCTCCAGCCTCCACTCCCTTGTGACGTTTTTGCAAACCCTAATCCCTTGAGTGTTTGTTTTGAGCTTAAGTGTGTGTTCTTGGTGTGTTGAAGGAAGAAAGAAGATTCATTGAGGAGCCTTGGGTAGAAGCAAGCTTGTAGATCTGTCATTTTTGCCTGTTTGGGAAACTTCAGAAGGTATAAAGCTTTGATCTTGACTTGTATTTCCTTAAGATCTTTCTATGTGAAGTTTTATGAGTTTTTAGTCCCTTTTTCTTGGACTTAATGAGTATGAGCTGCTCTAAGACCAAAGGAGTTGTCCTTTCAGAAGATTTGAGGTGCATTAAGTTGTAAAAATGTTATCTTGACTCATTTGGTTTTTGCATGCAAGTTATAGGAGTACTAAGTGGTTAAGACAAACTACTGTTGTGGGCTCAAGGGTAATTGAGTCTTATGGCAATGAACCCAGTATGCATGTTGTTATATATTTGTGTGGTGGTATTTTGGAGGAACTCACTAAGCTTTGGCTTAAAGTTTGATTTTATGGTTTCAGGTACATCAAAGGATAGGGGCAAGGTAAAGATGTGATTGTGCACATCATCCTGGATATTTTTTTGACTTATGATTTTAGGATACTCTAATTTATACTTATGGTTTTGGAACTATGTTTTGTGCGAATTATGAATTTTGTGATGGTTTTAATAAATGAAAATTTTGTCATGATTTTTAGGATGTTACATCCAAGTACCCCATTGAGTTCCAAGTGCTCCATTGAACTCAAATGTTCCATGAGAACGCTCCAAATGTTTAATTCACATTTAACATAAAATGTGTGTAGGCTTATCCAATAGATGCTATCCATTATGATATTTAAAAAAGAATTACTCATCAAACCCAAATTAATCTTCAATTTTTACTTAAGCTTATATGCCTAACTTCGTTTATCGTCTCTATAGAATTCATTTCGCCTATAAATGTCGTAATCAATACTTTATAACTTGTGTTGTGTGTATGGTTCGATTGTGATTTGTAGATTGAAATATGATCCTTCTATCAACTTAGTTTTTAGCCGAAACCAAATTGGACAAACTGGAGGATATTCACATTAATGATCCACATTATCATATAGGTTCATTAATCGGGTTTGTATATCCTTGGATTCTGCAAAACTTCAACATTACAAGTTATTTTTAAAAAAGGACAATACTTGTGTTTATGCATGTTTATTACATTACCATCATTTATAATTTATCATATAACAATGTCATTTTCATGATTGATTGAGTTTTTTTTTTTTTTTTTTTTTTTTTTTTTTTTTTTTTTTACTTTTTTCAATTTATATTGCATTGTACAAATTCATGATATTATCAAATATTTATACACACAGAAAACATATTGAATATTCATAACAATGTGTATATTAATTTTAACTAATCATTATGAATTTACTGATAAAACTTCGATATTTGTAAATTAATTAACTTTTTGCAAATATTTTATTAGTCATTAAAATTTCGAATTATGAATAACATTTTTCTTTCTTAAACGTGGTTTCCATGGGTTTAAACCTAATATTGGGAATATTGACGTTGTAGAAGATAACATATAAAATGTGTGTCCTCTCTATGCGTAAATGTCTCATCAGAACACAACAAACAAGATGTTACGTATTTAAAATTCAAAGTATGCAAGTAATTCCGAATTGTTTTTTTTATGACACAAAATCGAATTTCGTGATATCTCGAGCAATATGATCAAAATCACAGATTTTGAAAAATATTTTATACACAATTTTTAAAATTATCCGAGTATTATATTGATATTCAAAATAATAAATATAACACTATATACTTAGTTTTATTAATGTATAAATAAATAACCCCTAAGTTTTTATAGACATGTTTATTAGACAAGGGACCTGACTCGAAGTGATAGGTTTACGAATTGATGGCATACACCATCAATCAATTATTTTCATTTTTCAAAGGCCCTCTCCAACATAGAAATTGACTACAAGTGTGTTTCTTTTATGTAAAATATACCTTTTATAAAATCAATAAGTGTTCATTACACTTTGAATTTTTGATATTTCTTTTAACATACGTAAATAAATAAATAAATAGGCATTTTACTAATTTACTATAGTACTTGTTTAATCCTTCATTTGACATTTCTTTCTTAACGCTACAGAACCAATTCCAAGAGTTTGTACTCTCTAGTAAGAATTCTACTTTTGACCCAATTAAGCAATTATTAACCCTAAATATCACATAAAACTCTTTCAACTATATGTTTGACATAAAACAAAATTAGAACAAAATTCTGCACTTTAACACATCAATAATATTAAATATGCAAATATTCATTATACGTGTACGATTACACCGAGTAGGAATTTTAAAATTACTCCATACGATGGAAAAAAACACATACGATAGCCCAATTATACAAACAAAACACAACACTATACTCATCAAATTCGTATAAGTATATGCTATATAACATCATTACTTAAGTTTATTTAATTCGATCATCCCCGCCTATTGATTCCTTTATAAAAATAAAACCAAGAGAACTAATTGAACTCATACCTTTTTCAAGGATATTCGAAATACCAGATTAAATACCATCAAACTAAATTTCTGACTGTTTAACGAAACTGGTTCCCGGTAAATGTCTGTCCAAAAGACCAATTGGGTGGTGCCACATTGTATGACACTACACTTCTACCATCACCTGTGGTGACCTTAAAAGATAGGGATTGTCCATTGAGGTAACTATTGCTTTGCCAATTTTGCCCCCAATTTCTTGACATTGGTTGCCACCCTGTTCTTGACCCTTTAATAAATACAGATCTCACATCTCCTGCATCACCTACATTTGTGATTAGGACCAAGTTGAAGTAGGAGTGCCCATTTACTGTGAACCTAATCCCCCCACTTCTCCTGCAGGGTACCCTACAAGTACAACCACAACATGATTATTTTATAAGATAAAACAAAAAGGTAAAAATTGCCATTTGGTACATACACCAAGTAATTTAAAACGGAAAAGAAAAAAAAGGACAAAATTGTATTTTTGTTAGATAAAAGAAAATAAATAAAATTAATGGAAAAGGAAAGAAAAAAAAAGGTCAAAACGGTATTTTGTTATATAAAAGAGAAGAGATAAAATTACCCTATGTATATAAGACAATTTTTAGCTGTGGTGGATACAAAAAGAAAAGTTAGAGGTTGCAAAAAATTTTCTAGGGGTTGTACTATTAGAAAAAACTCATTTATGAAGGCAGTTTCTATCACAAAATCGTCAATAAACCGACAAATTCACTAAACTCACAATTTTCACACTTTGTGATGGATTGCCAACAGATTTGTGACGGATTTTAAACAGATTTTGTGATGGATTCTGACGAATTTTCACTAAATTTACATTTGATAGGAAATTTGAGGGGTAAACCGTGCTACCCCGTGCAACATAGTAAGGCTGTGTTTGGCGCGCCATAGCTAGCTGATAAGCTAGCTTATTTTTTGAGCTTTTTATATTGTCGTGTTTGACAAACCAAAAAGTAGCTTATAAGCTAGTTTATAACTTATAAGCTAGCGTTTTACCAAAACTAACTGAAAAGCTAGCTGTTAAATAAAAAGTTAGCTAATAGCTGAAAAACTAGCTGATTAAAAATGTCGTTTGGTAAAACTGGCTGAAAAGATAGCTCAAAAATATAAAATATCATAAAAAGACATTTAAAAGAATGTGTTTTTTATAATTAATTAAGGGGTATATTTGGAAATTTTTTAAAAAGCTCCTAAAAAGCTAGTCTAAGTAGCTTTTTAAAAACTCAGCTTATAAGCTAGCTAATAAGCTACCTTTTGGTTTGCCAAACATGACAATTTAAAAAAGCTCGAAAAATAAGTTAACCTATCAGATAGTTGTGGTACGCCAAACATAACCTTAGTATGGGTGGGATTGCCGTACACTATTTTGTTGATTTAAAATTGGCAAATTTCATAAAAATATTTAATATTTTTATATTTTGTTGATTTAAAATTGGCAAATTTCATAAAAATATTTAATATTTTTCATTCTTTTAACTGAAAAATCAATATAATCTTTTTTTATTTTTGTAAAAAATGTCTTATATTTTTAGCATGTTACATTACCGACATGGACACACTCGGTTCATATACTAAAACCCAAAAATCATTAATAAGAGTATTAACTCGGACTTTAAGTCATTTGTAATGAGTTTGCGACTTATAGCTAACATAATGTGTTGCACCTATCGGAATTAGATGCAATAAAAGGACAAAATAATTACCCTTGTAAAATCGTATAATAAATGTATGAACATTTAGATGTGGATGTTAAAAGACTGAAACAGTGAAACTACCCTTGACGACAGCCGTGATTGGTTGCATAAAGACTCGTACTGACCAGATTGCCCTTGATAACGACTCCTTATTTAATCAAAGCCATGCATATAGGATCAAACTACTTATACGAAGTGACGGAATTACCCTTGAGAACGATAGTGTTACAAAAGCTATGCATGGTTGGAATATTACTAATTATATGAAAGGATGGAAAAACCATGGAAGTGATGTGGTCGGCATGTGAAAAGACAGAATCACCCTAAAGGCTACCCCGTGTTCAAAATATCTACCTGAAATGACTAAACTACCCCGACAAATAACAATGGTACCTTTCGTATAGCAAATGTAAAGACGCTAAATCGTTAACGTGAATATACGAGAAAAGACAAAATTGCCCTTGAAAGCAACGGTTTTCACATTCTTTTTAATGTAAAAATGACTAAATTACCCTTAAAGATTGAGAAAAATACCTTCGGTAAGCAACGGGCACAACTCCGGCTCGGTATTGAGCAATGTGAAGAAAAACAGGTTCAGACAAATCAAAATGAATATTATCACACCATCCGCCCGGTGGGCAGAAATTGGTGGCAGTGACGACAATGGTGCCCGGAAGACACCATTGTGGATCATTAACACACCTAAGCTCATAACATGATCCACAACTCAATCCATTGTTAAACAAGGGTGTACTTAGTGCAGCAGTGTTTGTACCATACCCTTGGCTGTATAAATTTCCATACCCACAAGCCCCACCTACAAAAAAAAAAAACAGACAAATTACCAAAATACCCTTACACGAAAACAAAGTTTAATAATCTCTTTTATTATTTTGGAGTAAAAGACGACAAAGGGGGAGAAAGCTAATAATCATACCAATTTTGTACAATTCGTCATTCGAAAAGAAAAGCTTAAGACAAAAGGGTAGTTTCGTCATTTAGAAAAATATAAAGCGGCTTCATTCTTTTTCTCTTCGTATAATCAAATTTGTCTATATTTGGGAGCCAAGTTGTTAGCTAAATTTAGCCTCCTTGGCTCCTTTTTAATGTATTTTGGGTTAATATTGCTTCTCTTTTAGTAAAAATCTTCAAAAGAACAAGAAAATTCTAAGTTATCTTCTTTTCTTTTAAAATCTTTAAACTTCTCTATATTTCTTAAACATAAAACACATTGTAAAAAGACAAATTAACCCTAATTCAAACTTTGTTCTTAGTGCATGAAAACTTGTACATACCCATTGTCCCAGAGGCATCACCACCACCATAGAAGGTCGCATGGGCATTGCTCCATGGAGTTACATAGTAACCATTAACCGATAATGCAAATGTGAGAAACCCCATAATGGAGATCAAAATTTGACCCATTTTTGTATAATTTCCTGAAAAAGATAACCAGAAAATCAATTGTTCATGACTTATATGCTTGTTAGGATTCCAGAAATTGAAAAGAAAAAGGAATATAAGGATTTACAAGCAAGAAAGGAGAGCAATCATGAACAAACAATGAGAGGAGATAGTTTTTATGAATGTAGATGGAGGATTAAATAGAGGTTTCTTCTTGAGTGTAAAATGGACCCTACAATAACAAATGGGCACATTGTTTTTAAATTAGAAGTTGTTTTAGTATAATGATTTCTAACGAAACTCGACTAATGTGACCCACTAGTTAGGTTTAACCGATTAATTGTATATGTATATTTACTTTGTAAAACATTAAACCTTTGAATTTTTAATAAATTAATCTTCTTCGTTATTTTAGTTTTAATGTTAAGACTTTTACCATAATATACTTAATATATTAATTTTATATTGATAAACATAAAACATGCATGATATTTTTATAATATAAAATTTAAATTATTAATTCTAATATATTTAATAACTTATTGTTAAATATAAAATATAAATAAAATATAAAATAAACATAAAAATTTATCCAAATACTATCTTCTAAAATAGTTAAAAAAGTTAAATAAATACAAAACCTAAACTGAAATGTGAAACAAACTAAAACTTTTGGAAAAACTAAATTTTTTATTTATGTAGATAAGATAAAATATAAAATTATATTATATTATTTAAAAAAAATAGTTAATATTTAAAATAATCATTATGGTTTAAAATAACAAAATATGATTATATAAATTGTTTGTAATTTAGTTATATATAATGATAGTTATAGTTAAATATTATAGTTAAATAGTACGGATATTGTCGTGAAACCGGGAAAATGACCTGGGAGGGTAATTACATTTTCGTCTTGTTCACGTTTAGATAACTTTATTTTTTTTGTGCACATTTGTCCATACACATTTGTCCATTTAACTTGTTAAATATGTATTACCATTGTCACCTGCTATAGCAGGTGACAATGGTAATATGTGAACATATTTAACAAGTTAAATGATCAAATATATATACAAAAAAAGAAAGTTGTCTAAATGTAAACAATTTTTTTTTACAAATTTTTTAATTTTTTTTATAATTTCTTACAACATTTTTATGATATTTTTTCACATTTTTTTTACAAATTTCTTAAAATTTTTTATAATTTCTAACATTTTTATGATATTTTTTTTCTTATAGGTTTTCTAATACAATGTTTTAAATTTTGCTTATAAATTTTTTTCAACTTTTTTTTTTATAATTTCATATAATTTTAATACAAGTGCTTTTAAACCAAATATTTTATAAATGTTTTAAAATTCTCTTAGAAGTTTTTTACTTGTTTTTTTTTACATTTTCATACAATTTTTTCTATAACTTTCATACATTTATTTCTAAACTTTCTTTACAATATTTTTAAAGTGTTTCACAGATTTTGTATGACAATTTAATACTTTTTATAACATTTTAAAATACTTTCGTTAAATACTAGTTTAAAACGTTGTATTAAAAAATTTAAAAGTTTATAAACTTCTAAGTAAAAAGCATTAAAAAGTTGGAATAATTTTAAAACATTTACATTATATAGATTTTTTTTTATTTGGTAAGTAATATTTTCTTTTTAATTTTTTAAAAGACCCTCCCTACTTATTGTTACATATTTAATTTATTTAATTTTATTGTTAGATTCTATTTACTTTAAAAATATTGTATATGCTTCAAACAAAAGAAAAAAAAATATAAGAGGCTATATAAAACATTTCACAAAACAAAAATATATTTATTAATTAAAAAGTAAAGTTTAAAATTGATAAATGTTTAATTAATATTTAGGAAATTATGGATATTTTAAAAATAACGTTTGAAAAAAATAATACAAATAAATATGAAAAAATAAAATCGCTATTAAAAGTGGAGAAAATGACTTATCAGAGTAATTAACTTTCTGTTTTGTTCACATTTAGGCAACTTTCTTTTTTTTGTACACATTTAACCATTTAACTTGCTAATTTGTTCACATATTACCATTGTCACCTGCTATAGCCGGTAACAATGACAATATGTGAACACATATAACAAGTTAAATGCTCAAATGTGTACAAAAATAAAGAAGTAACCTAGATGTAAACAAAGCGACAAAGATGATTACCCTTGTAAGTCATTTTCCCTCGTGAAACCATTTAAGTTTGCAAGAAATTAACGTATGAGCTTGGTTTTTTGTCAATTAATATCTAATATTTGAGTTAGTTTTGTCATATTTATCTTTTATTAGGTTTTCAATATCATAGCCGGTCACATAGCCAACGTGGACCTTAACTTCCCTATCACCTTATTTGATGTCCAGACGATTAGATTGAATGGCAAAGTACAACCAACAAACAGAAAAGAAAGATAACTCCAAAACTAGATTCTTTATTAATTAACAAAAACTATCCTCCTAAAGAATGAAAAATGAGATACTTATAAGGAGGATAAGATAAACTAATTCATTAACCCTAGGTGATCATAATTGATTAGGAAAAGATCCGCCATTGATTATCTAAATCAAAACTCAAAATAAAATTTTTCCGCAAAAAACAAAAATAGAAAAAAACGCGTTTTGAGGCCCTAAACGATCCTAAATTGCCGAAAAACACCACATGTCATGGCGGAACAATGATTTTTCTTAATTGGCCCACTTTATATGTCGTGTGCTACTTTCGTCCAATTCTAAGTTGTTGGATCACTTCGGCAGATTTGGTGCTGATGGTATTATACTTTCATTCCTACTAGTATTGACATCATCAAGCCATGCATCAATACTTGTACCACCTGCATCATTCTTATCCTCTAAATCGAGATGACAACAACCAAAATCGCAACACCCTTACTACAAGTGTTGCACATAGTTGATCAATTAGAAAAATTGAAATAAGCTAGGGATGAATTGTTTCTTTGGATTTGATTTGGTTTGAAGATATTAGAGACTCTTACCTTGATCATCGTGTGTAACACTCGGTTTCAAATTTGCCTTGCTGCTTGGGGTTGTAGCCCAATCATTAGTTGTCATGGGGTTAGGAGCTTTGGGAAAGGAAGGATTTAGCCCATATCGGATGTAGTTGCCATGGTCTAAGTGATCCATGTATTTGATTGTGTCTTCGGGAGCCAAGGGTATGACTGTAAATTGATATCTTGGTCTTCTAGGGGTTCTAGGTTGACCATTTAGTATTTTAGGCCTTTTTGGATATTAGGCCTTCTTGGGTTAGGTTCATGATGGATTTGGGCCTTGTGGGCCATTTCGGGTTTGGGCTTTCTTATGGTCTTGTAAGTGCATGGATTTCGTTGGGCTAGTTATGGTCATGTATATTGGTTCAGAAAAGTAAATGGGCTTTAAGGAAAGGCCCTTGTAAGGGTTTGGGCCCAATTTGGAAACTTGGGCCATTAGTGGGCTTTTACGGATTTTGGATTTTTGGCCTTGATTGGTTTTGGGCTTGGGCCTTAGTTATGTATCTTGTTGGACTAGGGGTAAAATTCTCATTTTACCCTAAGTATGGATTATGGATCATGGTTTGGGACCCAATTGCTAGTTGGGTGATAGTTTGGTATTGATAGCTCGAGGTGTTTCCAGGACATCATCTAAAGATTTCTTGCAAGTGGACTTCAGCAGTGTAAGGTGAGTTACCTTCCCGCTAGCAGTGGGTCTAAGGAACTAAGGCCGGCCCACTAGTAGGAGTTTTTAGTTAGATGATTATCTTTGTGATAATTGTTTGGTATGCCACTATCTGTTATGATTTATGTGCTAGTATGCTATGATATTATGTGATAGTGGTAGGAGGGGTGAGATTGACCCCGTAGTTGGTGAAGTTAAACCGGAGGCTAGGTCGGGCACCCAGATATGCCTGACCAATATGTTTATATATGGTTATGGTATGATATTATTTGGGAGTGCTAGGGGTGAAATAGACCCCGTAACCGGTTGAAATAAACCGGAGGGTAGGTCGGGCACCTAGATATGCCTGACAGGGGTAGGTCGGGCACCCAGGTATGCCTGACAGGGGTAGGTCGGACATCCCGGTATGTTTGATATGGGTAGGTTGAGCACCCAGGTATGCTCAGCAGGGTTGGTCGGGCACCCAGATATGCCTGACAGTATGTTTATTGTATGGTGTGTGGTATGATGGGGGAACTCACTAAGCTTCGTGCTTACGGTTTTCAGGTTTGGTTTCAGGTACTTCTTCTTCGAAAGGAAAGTCGGCATGATCGCAGTGCATCACATTATGTTTTCCGCACGACAGATCTTTTGGAGTTGTACTCTGATGTTGTTTGTTGATGACATGTTTGATTATTGACATCAGTTTTGATATGGGATGACATTATGGATGTTTTCAGATCATTGGTTTTATAATTACTTAATTAAAAATGAAATTTTTAGTCATGAATTTTGGGATGTTACAAGTTGGTATCAGAGCCTTGGTTTGAGGGATTCAGACACATCTTCGGGGTGTCTGGACTCAAAATCGAGGGTTTGAGAGATTTTTACAAGGAAAATAATTTTTCTGAAATTAAAATTAAGGGTTTTCGATAAAGAACAAGGAGTGTGATGCGTGCAATCAGCTGAGCTCAAGTAAGTTTCCCCAAGATACCACACATGTTTGTTATGATATATGTTATGATTATGAGAATTGCATGCTAGGTTAGGGCTAAGGATATAGGAAGGATGCATTGTATGCCTACTGTACGTGTATGAGAACTGTATGCTAGATTAGGGCTAAGGATCTAGGAAGGATGCCTTGTATGTCTGATGTATGTGCTTATTGAACTGCATGCTAGTACTGATTAGTCAGTGATATGATGGACTGATTAGGATATGCTTGGTTTTGGTTACTCAATGCTCGAATGCTGCTTGCTTTGTGCTATTAGGAGTTCGAGTTATCTTTAACTAACTAGTAAACGAATACACTAAGTTACATATTACGAAGACTAAATAATTTCAGAAGGTTAGGAAAAGCCCTATTGAATAGCTCTCGTTTGAGTCTAACCGTTGTAGGGAGAGACCTCTCATTCGAAGAATTATCTGGTCTTAGTAATATGTAATGGTATTCGCGAGCTTGTTAGGGCAAGGTAACAGGGACTTCTTATGCAGCTG